TGAATCTTGCTCCTTCTTCACTTGACAAATTGGGTTTTTGTTACTACCCTCCTCACTGGTATAACATATGATGTTTTTGCAGCGGTGGGAGTCTTGTGGCCTATTCGGATAGAAAAGATGTTGAGAAGAAGAAGAAAATAGTTGTACTTGGAACTGGATGGGCTGGTATAAGCTTCCTTAAAGATCTTGACTTGTCCTCCTATGATGTTCAGGTTGTCTCTCCCCAGAACTACTTTGCATTTACACCTTTATTGCCCAGCGTCACTTGTGGAACTGTCGAAGCTAGAAGCATTGTGGAACCTGTCCGCAATATTGTAAACAAGGTAATCTGTTTCCTCAATTATCTGCTTGGAGGATTTCTGTCAGCTTTCCTTTGTTTAATCTGATTTTGACCCTCTTCTGTTGGCAGAAAAGGGGAGAAATCCAACTGTGGGAAGCAGATTGTGTTAAGATCGATCCTGCAAACCATAAAGTTCATTGTCGCCCTGCTTTCGAGGATGACCCTGTAGCAAACCAAGATTTCTCTCTACAGTATGACTTCTTGGTCATAGCAGTGGGAGCACAAGTCAATACATTTGGCACTCCTGGCGTATCGGAGAACTGCTATTTCCTCAAGGTAACTTTAACTGTGAATCATTCTCCTACACTTGTCTACATCACCTTGGATATTTCGGTTTCATTTGCTCATAGTCTTTGAAACAACTCCATAGGAAGTGGATGATGCGCAGAGGATTCGTAGAGGTGTGATTGATTGTTTTGAAAAGGCTGTCCTTCCTGGTCTTACCGAGGAACAACGAAGAACAAAACTTCATTTTGTAATTGTTGGAGGAGGTCCTACTGGGGTGGAGTTTGCAGCAGAGCTTCATGACTTCATCCAAGAAGATATCATCCCATTATACCCCACAGTCAGAAATCTCGTTAAAATAACACTCATCCAATCAGGAGATCACATCTTGAATATGTAATGGCACAATATCTGTGTCCTCTCTTTCTTGCTGTTTTTCAGGCCAGGCTTGATAGTGGAGTATAACGAGTCGTATTTGTAGGTTTGATGAACGCATCAGTTCGTTTGCTGAACATAAATTCTTGAGGGATGGTATAGACGTTCAAACCGGAGTGCGTGTCACTGGTGTGTCTGATAAGGATATCTCTGTGAAAATCAAATCAACTGGCGAAGTCTGCTCTATTCCCCATGGATTGATCGTGTGGTCTACTGGCATTGCAACCCGCCCAGTTATCAGGGACCTTATGGAGCAAGTTGGCCAGGTCTGCTTCATAAGATCCTTACTGTGACAATCGTTATTGTTTTGCGTTTCATTGCGGCAAACGTTCTCTGACCGGTTTCTTACTTTTGGAGGGTGGAAGACGTGTTTTGGCAACTGATGAGTGGTTACGCGTCAAAGGATGTGAGAATGTGTATGCAATTGGAGATTGTGCTTCCATAACTCAACGTAAAATTATGGTTTGTGAAATCATCAAACACCTGAAATACCTTCATTATCTTGCTATGGTGCTTGTTAACTAGTTTACTTGTGCGAAATAAGCTGATCTGATTTTCAGACCATTCTGCATTCTAGAGCTGAAAAGAAACAAGAACGTAACTTGTAGCCTGTAGGGGAATCGGAAGATTGAGGTTGTTTTCATTGCCATGTCTAGAGATATTCATTCTGAATCCTTAATCTGCCTTGAATTTTAGGAGGATATTGCAATGATATTTGAAGTTGCAGACAAGGATAAATCAGGAACCTTGACGGTGGAAGAATTTCAAGACGTGGTTGAAGATATCCTTGTGAGGTACCCGCAGGTTGAGCACTTCCTAAAGAGCAAGCATTTGAGGAATGTTACGGACCTGTTGGCAGATCCAGAAGGAAATGCAAAGAAGGAAGTAGACATTAATGGTTTCAAGTTGGCTCTCTCAGAGGTTGACTCGCAGATGAAGAGCCTTCCTGCAACTGCTCAGGTACTTGATGGATGTTTGCATCATGGGTTATTGTTGACAAATATCAGGCAATCACAGTATTCTCTGGATGTTTAGGTGGCTGCGCAACAAGGTTCATATGTAGCGCAATGCTTGAGCAAAGTGGAGGTGTGTAAAGAGCATCCTGAAGGTCCTATGCGTTTCAGAGATGGAAAACATCACCAGTTCCGCCCATTTCAGTATGTATGCCAGACTCTTTGAGAAAAAAATTAGCTTTGTATGAATTTTTCTAGAACTAGCTAGTGCTTTGGCAACTCACTGACAGGATGTGGTAAAATCTGAAATGGTGCATAGATACAAGCACCTGGGCCAATTTGCTCCATTGGGAGGGGAGCAAGCAGCTGCGGAACTGCCAGGAGATTGGGTTTCTGTAGGAAGAAGCACACAATGGTTATGGTATTCTGTGTATGCCAGGTAAGTGAATAATATAAGGCTCCTGCATTCAATATTTCATAGCCATAGAAATTGATGTGGGTTTGGCTGCAGCAAGCAAGTGAGCTGGCGGACGAGGGCCTTGGTGGTGTCAGACTGGACAAGAAGGTTCATATTTGGGAGGGATTCAAGCCGCATTTGAGCCACAAATGGATCATCCGACCAATGAGACTGTGTTGATGTAAATATTGTGTGTGGGTAAACCAGGAACCTTACTAGTGTTGTGCTGTTTTGTTTGGGGTAAGTGATATCTCTATGCCGCCAGATTGGAACTGTTTTAAGATATTAAAATTTCAACGGAAAACATGAGCTTGAAAAACATACAAAAATTTGGGAAAGTTGCTTAGTGTTTTGTTTTCCGTATCAAGTTATTAATGGCATGAACTGCTGTAACATAAATGAATGAGTAGAAACTTCAAATTTGGTTATTTTTTGTTTTCCAATAAAAGAAAATGTAATTTCAATTACTAATCTTGTTTGATTCATTAAGTTTTGAATATTCTATATATTATTCCACATTACATTTCCAAATACGACTAATACGGAACCAAAGAGAAGAAAGGAAAAGAAACCTCCAGGGAAGGCGGAACATAATTTCGTCTTCTAATTAAAAAAAAGTCTCGAGTTTCCTTCCCTAAGACAAGTCAAATCTGCGGTTTATTTAGTGGGTCCCTCCCTCACTCGATGAGAATATAATATTTAAATTGATACTATTCTATATTCCTCCTAAATTTACTTGGGCGCTACTCCAATTTCCTAAATACCTGACTGTC